TCATTGAAATTTAGTTGTATCTATCTAACTATCTATTTATTATATATACATTTAAAAAAGACATTTAAGAGAGAGAGAGACCTTTGGGTTTTCCAAGGCTTCATATTTTAATGCATGTTATTGTTTTATTTAAAAGAGAGATAGAGAGAGAGAGAGAGAATAGAATAATATAAATCAATGTTTTCAAAACCGAACTGGACAAGGAACCGGCCAGAGGTCTGGTTCCTGGGGTGAACGGTTTGACCATTCAAACAGAAAGGAAGTCCCGTTCTTACAAGAAAATTAAAAAAAGAAAAAAAACAGCAAAAACCATTGGATGTTTCAAATGGTTTGACCGCCCTAGTCAGCGGTTTGCTGACCAAATCAACGATTTTTGGTGAAATAACGGTTATGGGTAAAACGGAACCAATCACCTGGCCCGTTCCTGATTTTTCCGATCGGTCCGGTTTTGAAAACCATGATATAAATCAAATAATATAAATAAGTTGAGGTTAAACAATAAAAAAATTATTAATCTAAAAATCCACTAAACTTTCACTAAAAGTAAATATTTACAAAACATAATAAATATTAAAAATGAGGTTCAATTCCACTTAAAAATCCAACTTAATAAGCACTAATAAAAATAAGAAATTTAAATATAAAAATTTTAAGTGATAGTTTTAATAATATTATTAGATAACTTATGAGTTGAAATCTTATTAAACATTTATAAAAAAATATTATTAAATCATAGTTTTAAAATACCAACAATTAATTTAAAATCCAAAAAATTTTGAAAAACTTAAACATAATTAAAAATTAACAATATTTTATATTAAAACTACAGTTATTAGTATTTTATATAATCTATTTTCTCCATTTTTTGCATTTGTTTTAAAAATATAAAACAATAATAATTGATTATCTTGATTGGATTAATAAAGCTAAACATTATCTAAGAGACCTTTGAGTTTTCCAATGCCTCTTTTTTTAATCCATGTTATTATTTTAAAAAAGACATTTAAGAGAGAACTTTGGGTTTTCCAAGGCATCATATTTTTGAATTTTCTTGTCAGAACGGGACATCCGTTCTATTCAAACAGTCAAACCGTTCGCCTGGAGAACCAGACCTCTGATCGGTTCATTGTCCAGTCCGGTTTTAAAAACATTGATTTATATTATTACTATTCTCTCTTTCTCTCTCTCTCTCTATCACTCTCTTTTAAATATAACAATAACATGCATTAAAATATGAAGCCTTGGAAAACCTAAAGGTCTTTATCTCTTAAATGTCTTTTTTAAATGTAATAATAACATACATTAAAAAAAGAGGCCTTGGGGAAAACCCAAAAGTCTCTCTCTAATAATGTTTAACTTTATTAATCGAATCAAGATAAGCAATGATTATTGTTTTATATTTTTAAAATAAAAGAAAATAAGAAAAAAATGCAAACAATGGAAAAAATAGATAAATACCTTCTCTCAAAGGAGAGACATGCTAACATGGACAAACAGAATTTTAATATATATAGATAGATATATTTTTCAATAATATATCTATTTTTTCAAAGGAGAGACTGCTAAATTTCAATATTTTTCAATAATTTGGCTTTTTTTAATAATTTTTTATATTTTTAATAATAAAATACTATTAATTGTAGTTTTTAATTATTTTAAGTGAATACCCTTATTAATATAAAATATTGCTAATTTTCAATATTTTTTAATTATATTTAATTTTTTCAGAATTTTTTGGATTTTTAATTAATTATTGGTATTTTAAAACAATCAATTAATATTTTTTATTAGCGTTTATTAGGATTTCAACTCTTAAGTTATCAAATAATTTTATTAAAACTATCAATTAATATTTTTATATTTAAATTTCTTATTTTTATTAGTGTTTATTAGGTTGGATTTCGAAGTGGAATTGATACTCATTTTTAATATTTACTATGTTTTGTTAATATTTATTTTTAGTGAAAGTTTAGTATATTTGTAAATTAATAATTTTTTGATTGTTTAACCTCAAACTATTTATATTATTTGATTTATAGCATGGTTTTCAAAACCGGACCGACCAAAAAAATCAGGAATCGGTCAGGTGATTGGTTCTGCTTTACCTAGAACCATTATTTAACCAAAAGTCGTTGATTTGGTCAACAAACCGGTAACTCAGGTGGTCAAACCATTTGAACCGTCCAACGGTTTTGGCCGTTTTTTATGCATTAAAATAAGAAACTTTGGAAAACCCGAAGGTCTCGATCTCTTTTAAATGTAATAATATGCATAAAAATAAGAGGCCTTGGAAAACCCAAGCCCAAAGGTCTCTCTCTAACAATGTTTAACTTTATTAATCCAATCAAGTTAAGCAATGATTACTGTTTTATATTTTTAAAACAAAAGAAAAGAAGAAAAAATGCAAAAAATGAATAAAATAGATAAATACCTTCAAACCAATTTTAATATATATATATATATATATATATATATATATATATATAATATATATATATGATATAGATAGATAGATAGATAGCTAAATTTCAATATTTTTCAATAATTTATTGCTTGTTCTTTTTTTAATAATTTTTGGTATTTTTTAATTATAAAATACTATTAATTGTAGTTTTTAATTATTTTAAGTAAATACCCTTGTTAATATAAAATATTGCTAATTTTCAATATTTTTTAATTATGTTTAATTTTTTCAGAATTTTTTGGATTTTTAATTAATTGTTGGTATTTTAAAACTATCAATTGATATTTTTTAGCGTTTATTAAGGTTTCAACTCACAAGTTATCTAATAATATTATTAAAACTATTAATTAATATTTTTATATTTAAATTTCTTATTTTTATTAGTGTTTATTAATTTGGATTTTTAAGTGGAATTGAAACTCATTTTTAATATTTACTATGTTTTGTTAATATTTATTTTTAGTGAAAGTTTAGTGGATTTTTAAATTAAAAATTTTTTGATTGTTTAACCTCAACCTACTTATATTATTTGATCTATATCATGGTTTTCAAAACCGGACCTACCGGAAAAATCAGAAATCGGTCATGAGATTGGTTCCGTTTTACCTAGAACCGTTATTTCACAAAAAATCGTTGATTTGGTCAGCAAACCGTTGACTCAAGCGGTCAAACCATTTGAACCATCCAACAGTTTTGGCCGTTTTTTTTTTGTTAAAATGGACCGTCCGTTCCGTTCGAACGGTCAGACCTCTTGCCCCGGGAGCCAGACCTCTAACTGATTCGTTGTCCGGTTCATTTTTAAAAACATTGATTTATATTATTAGTATTTTTTCTATCTCTCTCACTCTCTTTTAAATATAACAATAACATATATTAAAATAAGAAGCCTTGGAAAACCCGAAGGTCTCTATCTCTCTTAAATGTCTTTTTTAAATGTAATAATAACATGTATTAAAATAAGAAGCTTTGGAAAACCCAAAGGTCTCTCTTGAATAGTGTTTCAGTTTATTAATCCAAACAAGATAAGCAATGATTACTATTTTATATTTTTAAAATAAAAGCAAATAAGAAAAAATACAAAAAATGGAGAAAATAGATAAATACCTTCTCTCAAATGAGGGGCACGAAATCCACATAGAGAACTAAGTAAAGCAATCAGATCTCCAATAGGAATGCCTATCATACGAGGAAAATAAGTAGAATTCAATTGCTCAGATAACCAAATTATAAGGATGCTTCTAACTTATGAGGAAACATTAACACTAAACCTTAGCAAGAAAAAGTAAGAAAAATGAAAACATTGAAAAATGCATTAAACATACTCCGGCAGCAAAAAGCAGTTCTAAAAGTCATTATTACCTGAGAAAACATGCATTAATTAACACAAAAATACCTTTGAATCATTTGGAAAATTCAATAAAGTAATAAATAACCACCATCTATTTTATCAAGTAGTACTTCTGGACCAAAATCAAAAGATAAAGATTGTTTTTGAATGTACAAGTAAATGAAAAATACACAAAAAGAGAAACAACAGAATAAGTTGACAATATCAATCAGTAAATGACATCAACCTGCATAAATCAAATCTATGACACCCACATCCTTGTGCATGCCCCAGATACCAGTGTCAGATGCGATACCAAATAGTGCATGGATACTTCCAGAAGACTCGACGGCATTACCATTTTTAATACTGCATGGATACTACTAGAATCCATAGCATTATCATGATAGAAATTTAATTAAATCTGGCTAAACACAAGTCTTGAGAAATAACATTTAGCTTCAAAATTAGATTTAAGTGCATGATATAAGCATATTAAAGGGGATACCTATACCCATATCCATATCCATGTCCAGTATTATAGAATTCGGGGAGTCATGCCCAGATTACCTGTATCTGTCTGTGTCCATATCCATATCTGGGCATCATAAAACCAAACTGTAAAAGAAAAACATAAGAGAATTTTAATAACTCTTAACAATTCATAGGATGATGAATTTACATTTGTTTTTTTTTTCTACAAGGTAATTAACTAGAACACAAAACTACAACATGCACATTCCAAATGTGAACATGGTATTCTTCTCCACAGTAAACAATTGAGAGTTGAACACAATTCCAACATGCATCTTACAAGTGGCCTTCCACTTATCAGTATGTGTACTCCCTTTCACATGTTTATTGCCATTCCCACAAGGCTCCAATCCTACTTCCCAAAGTAAATTACAACTCATATACATGAATATACAAACTAGATAAAACAGATGATAGAGAGGAAGAAAACATGGTTATTGATAAAGAATAATGGAAAGGTAATATTCATGTAGTCGACCTGATCAAGGCCAAGTTGAGATGAATAGAAGACAGTAAGGAAAAGATGAAGCAGAGTCAAGAAATAGAGGGTTGACATGGTATTTATTTCAATAAATTGCTAACATTCTTCTAGAACTTTCTTTCCATATTTTCATTAAGTCCTGCAATAATAGATCAGTTAAATAAGTTTTAAATATGTATTCTCAAAACTGCATGGAGAAACAAGATAATAGAAATATTAGCTTTGAAACAGTACCATGCCTCATCCATCTAAAAAGACTACTGTTCACCCTTTTAGAAAATAATTTCAAAAAATTCCAGTCAGTTGAAGCAAGTTCCTTGCATTTCCAATCTCTGACAGATAATGGAATGAGGATAAAAGGGAAACTTCTGTTAGGATGGTATTACAAAGCTTTCTTCTCACTACTTGCAAGTTATCATGCTCATTCCAACTTATCAGAAACACCCTCTTGAGAAAGGCGAACATGGGAAGAACGCACCAAATCAACCAACTCTTCATCCAAGCTCTCAAGTTCACCAGAGTTACGCAGTTGAGGATATAAAGGAGCCAAGTAACTTGCAGCAGCTTCAGCCATCTTCCATAGAGACAAATTGGCAGCAATTTGAATGACTTTAACAGACAAGTGCCTATTAGAACTTAGGCAAGATATAACCACTCCCAAGCTGCTCTTCTGAACTTCTTCCAAGAACCAGAATTCTGCAAGCCAATAAAGCTCTATATATGGCTCAAGCTCATTTATCTGCTGATCAACATCCATATTATGAAATAAGCAGCATAAACTGGATTTTGGCAGCTCATCTAAATAGAACCAATTAACAAGTTTCACCAATGCTTCCCAACCAACTGGAACCTTAATGGTTTGTGATTGACTGCAGGCAACAAAAGAAAAAAGTTGGAAATAGAACAGAGGAAGTCACCAACATAGACTTTAAAAGGCCAGCATAACAACCAAAATTGAATTATTTCATGCAAGAAATCAAGATCTCAATCAAGGAATAGTCACAATTTTTTACTTAATTTTTCTTTATGGTTGGAAAAATGATAACATTTACTAGTTTGATTGGTCTTGATAACTTCATCGCCATCCACTTCAACACAAAGATGCACCAAAAAAGAAACGAAATTTCTAGTCAGTGCAAAATGAATACAAGATACAACTGAAATTGGAATATCAAGGGCATTAAGCTACAGAAGATATTATAAATTTATTATGATTTCTAGAACCAACATTTTTTGAAGAAGGTCAAGTATAATATATTTGATAGAGTGAATATTCTTCCCATGTGTTAGTGCGGCCAGGGATACATATGTAATTTGTCTTTAAATTTTTTTATTTACTTAAAGAGGGTAGTGTTGTCATTTCATGTTTCATTATAAAATTAATAAAATAGGATGGTAGTTGAGGTTTGTTAAGACATCTCTCTCTCTCTCTCTCTTGATCAGCATCTCCCAACTCTTTTCTTCTTCTATTCTCTTCTCTTCTAATCATTCTCTGAACTTTTTCCTTATTTTCACATTGTCTAAGATTGATTTCAGGTATGATCACAAGGTATCGGAGCAATATTGATTGATCTGGTCAGTCCTAAACACCATACAGTCCTAAACACATAGAAGACTCTTTGGGCTTCGAAACTTACTGTTTAGCATTTTCCTTTGTTGATTTGATTTGGTTTCTGGTGGAATTAAGTTGAAAACAGTTCAGAATTAATCTGTGTTATGGCCTCATTGGGAAGTGAAGTTAAATCTAGTGTAGTGATCCATCCAGACTTTATGGCTATCCAGATGACTACTATGAAGCTTAATAATGCAAATTACATACCCTGGGCAAAACCTGTTGAAGTGAATCTAACTACCATGGGTAACTTGAAGTATATTAAGGACAACAAACAAGATTAAAGTACTACTGGATATAGTGATTGGATGCAATAAAATGCACAGATTATGACATGTCTTTGAAACAGTATGGAACCCCATATTAGTGTGAATTTGGTGTTCCTAGACACTACTAAAGAAATTTGGGACCATGCTAAACAGCTGTACTCTGGATAGGATACAAATATAACCCATATCATGTTGAAGTTTTGAACCTTGCATAGGTTACAAATATAACCCATCCTATTTTATCTAAAGGTTTTCATGACTAAAATCATCATGATCTTCGAACTTTACATATGGAGTGGACATATCTCCATTCTTTTTAACTCTCAAAATGGAAATCAACTTCAATATGTTTTGTCCTCTTATGGAAATGCCTAGTAGGAAGCAATATGCACAGTTGCTTGGTTGTCATTTGTCACAAAATAGCATTGTAGGTGCTTAAACCACATTTCACAACTAGTATAGTCCATGTCCCTAAGCTTCTCTTCAGCAATACTCTTAGCCACCACATACAGCTTCTTGCTCTTCAAGGTAACTATATGACCACTTCCCTTTACTAGGGTTTTCGGAACCACTTTCCATTAGATTCAAAGATCAGCAAACTTTTTGATTGATGCAATGGCCAAACAATGGATAGATATCGCTCAATTGTGTATTGAATATAAAGAATAAATGAATAAGTTAGGTTGCGAATTCTATCCTGCTAAACTTGAGATACTTGGCATGTATTGTATGTAAGTCATTTTTCTTCTAAAATTAATAAAACTTAATGGTTACCAATCAAAAAAGAGTATCTAGTTATGGATAGTGCGATAATAGAAGCAGTGAAACTGCATGACATTGCTAATATAGATTAAAGTAAAAAAATCCCATCACTTGCTTCACTGATTATCAGTAAAAGCACGGTAACAATACAATGACCTTAGAATTTCTACTTCTAAATACTGAAAGAGAAAGTCAATGTAGTACCTCTCCTGCATTCCTGATTGAAATAGGGCACGGAGATAATCACAACTTGACCACAAGATGACTTTATGGGCATGCACATGTGGCAATAAAAGTGAGCAAACATTGCAAGTTGACTTTGCCACTTCTGTAACCTTAGCTTCCAAAACGATGTCCCTGTAGTCAGAAGTAATTATATTAAACCTTTTATGTTCTTCCTTTGATTAATCAACAGATGTCAAAGGCATTATCTTGAACACAAAAAAGAAAAATGATAAAAACCTAATTTCAGAATGTGTTGACCAGAAAAGCATGATCCATAATCCACTAAATGTGCCATCTCATAGATCAGGACTAATATACCCAAGTTCAATTGGCCGTACTCAAGGACTGAATCTATTATAACCAATGGACAAAATAATTTATCTGTTAGCAACCAAAAAGGGATAAAATTAAAATAAAATAAAATAAAATAAAAAAGAAGACAGAGAAACAAAGAAAGCAAACTATCAAAAAAAAATGGAAGAACAAGAGAGAAGGGAGGGAAGGGCAATAAATGAATGAAATAATAAAGGGTCAACACTGTTGCACTTCACTAAGAACCCAGCCAATGTCCACCTAAGAGGGGTGTTAGTATTCAGACGAACTGAGAAGAAGAAGAAGAAGAAGAAGAAGAAGAAGGAGAAGGAGAATAGTGTTGAACTGAGAAGGCAAAAAGTCTAACCCAGTCGAACTTGGTAAATAAGTATACAAAGACAGAAACGCCCCTGTCCAGACAGAAGGCATATAACTAATACATTACTTATATGAAAAAGACTGAAATACCCCTGTTTAGTCACTCTAATACTCCCCCTCAAGCTGGAGAATATATATCATATAATCCCAACTTGTTACATATGTAGCTCAGTCTTCCTAAACTCAACCCTTTTGTGAACAGATATGCCCATTGGTCACCTGTTCTCACATTCTCTGTCCTTGTCATACCATTGATGACCTTTTCCCTTACAAAGTGACAATCCACCTCTATGTGTTTAGTTCTCTCATGGAAAACTGGGTTGGATGAGATGTGAATTGCAGCCCGATTGTCACAGTATAGTTTCATGGGTTTTCTTATTGAGAACCCGATTTCCTGCAATAGATTCTTCAACCACACTAGTTCACATGCAGTGTGTGCCATGGTCCTATATTCTGCTTCTGCACTACTCCTTGCTACCACAATCTGCTTCTTGCTCTTCCATGTCACAAGATTTCCTCCAAGAAAGGTGCAATAACCTGTAGTGGATCTTCTGTCTAATACAAAGACATCCCAATCTCCGTTGGTGTATCCAACCCACGACCTGGAGCCCCCTTCAAATACCGCACAATCCTAAGAGCTGCATCCCAGTGACATACCCAAGGACTCTGCATAAACTAGCTTACCACGATGACAGCAAATCAGACATCAAGCCTAGTGATAGTTAGATAATTCAATTTTCCCACTAGTCTTCTATACCTTCCAGGATTATCAAACAATTCACCTGTGTCACTTCCCAACTTCACATTCAGTTCCATAAGAGTTTTAACTGGTTTAGCACATAGTAACCTTGTTTCTTCCAATAGGTCAAGGACATATTTCCGTTGATAGAGGTTTATGTTATGGGCCCGTGCGTAGGATCTCGTCATGGGTCGGTCCACGGGGAGGAAGCCCTGCTTTCCCTTGCGTGCTCCCTTGYGTGCAGAACCTATTGTGGAAAACCGAATGGGTGATTTGTCCAAGAGACCACCCGAACTCTCCTAATGGGTGATTTGTCCAAGAGACCACCCGAACTCTCCTTACTCTTCTCTTGACTRGGAAACTGAATACCTTTATTTCAATTCGTAGCTCCTTAAATAGGAGATTACAGAAGGAAATTCCTTGTTGGATTCGGCTAGGCTAGGGTAATCCAACTCAAACTAAAACTCCTAATTACCTACTCCTAATGGTAACACAACTCTTACTTAAGAAGATAAAATAAGATAAGGATAAGGGATAAGGGATAAGGAATGGTGAAGCTAGCGGCGAGTTGGCAAGCAGAGCTGATGTGGTAGGATAAGTGTGGACCCACCCTGATGAGCTGTCATGTGGGTCCCACCCTACTGCTGCTGCCGGGCGGTGCGCGTGTCTCACAGTGCTGCTGCCATGCGGTGCGTGTTGTTGTCTAGTGCTGCTGTCGTGCGGTGCATGCTGCGCGCTGCCGGGCGGTGCATGCTGCTACCTATGACTGTGCCGTAGTGAGCTGTCGGGCGGTGTGTCCATAACATCACACCCCTCCTGGACTACGAGCTTGTCCTCAAGCTCGAATTGGGTGTCGAAAACACCGTCAAAAGAATCCTGGATAAGTGGAATGGCTTTGCCCTCCTGGATTGGGTTCCCATGGAGGGGGTTCATCCTCATCTTCCTCTTGTTTCACCAGGAGGCAGAAAAGTCTCTTGCACTTGTGCCCTGCTGAGTAGAGTTCATCGCAATTAAAACACTGCCCCCTCGCCCTGCATTCTGCCATCTCAGCCCTGGACAAGTGCTTAATGGGGGGTGTAACGACGCTGCTCCTTGCACTGGATGTCGATCTGGGATTGGTGCTTGTCTGTGGCTTCCGTTCTTGGCTGGCTGCTGAGTATGGAGCCACTCTGACTAGTTCCGGGGATGCCCATGCTGATGGAGGCCGCCCCATACTGACGGTTCCGTGGCTGAGCTGTAGTTTGCGTTCGAAGGCGCGTGCTAGGTTCATGGCTGTGACCAGGTTGGGAGGGTGTTGCATCTCCACGTCCACCCTTAGGGGTTCTGCTAGCCCCGCGGTGAACATGTCGACTTGCTGATCTGTGCAAACCGAGGTTGGAACTGGCATTGGTATTCTGCTACGGTTCTAGTTTGCTTGAGGTTGACTAACTCGCCCAACGGGTTGCTTGTCAAATGGAACGCGACCAGGCTGACCTTATCCTTCTCCTCCGTGCGCTGATTACGGAAGAATTGCTCGCAGCGGTACAGGCTGACCTTATCCTTCTCCTCCGTGCGCTGAT